TGCACTGGTCTACTCTGTAGCATTAAAATCCCTCTCAAAACAACACAAAACCAAAACCTTTTCTAACTGTGTATGTGGGAGGGGTGAGAAATAATATCTATGTGAAATACATACAAAATACAATTCTAAATGTTATAATGAAATTTTTATCTTGTGACTCTGAAATACTTTAAATGTGGTAAATGCAGTTGTTATCTTCTCCTTACAGAATGGTAGCTGTGGGTTGTACCTCCAGTGGGGAGCAAGTGCACGGAGCTGGTCTCCGACTCCCACTTCAGTGCCTTATCCACCAGGCAGAGGCACCTCACTTTAAAAGAGGGCTGAGATTCCTGGGGTAATTTAGATCTTTCATAAACAAGCTTAGTTTCAATTTTTTTGTGTTAGTGAGTGACAGCATCCACTTAATCATCTATATTATTTTCTGTAAAGAGCTAATAACACACTCATCAAAATTCTGGGACAACAATGCTCGAACATTGCCTGCACAGTACGCATTTTGTGGGAGGCAAAAAATCCCACAACCCTGCACATTAAAACAATTCTTGCTGCTGATGCTAATATACATTCAAAATGGTGCAAATTTACCCCTCATGGTGAATCTTGGGTGAATCAGGAAGGAAAACAGCTGAGAAAAGGACTGCTTTTGCTGCAGCCAGCAGTCCCTACACAAAGAGGGGAAAAGCACAGCTCCCAAGAAATGAAATAAATATAAAAAAAGATTTTGGTAAAAAAGCCTAATCCTGCCACGATATTTTTTAATATTTGGAATTACAGTGTCTTGACTTGGGATGAAACTTATTCTACAGGAAAAATTCATAGAGATTATTGTCTCTAAACTGCAATATGAGAGTCACTATCAAAACCCAAAGGATGAGTCTGAAGACTGATGACCCAGCCCAAAGGTTTTTTGCATCACCCGTCTGTGTACAAACCTTCTTCCACACTTTATATAAATGATTAGAAACCTCGCCAGCAGCCTTGATACAGAGAAAAATAAACAAAACGCTTCATTAAAAATGAAAAGAGAACCAGTCGGGAGAGCTGTGTGGGAGCAATTACATTTAAAGTCTCAATTAACCCACCAGCAATCATCATTCGGAGTCAAGCCAGTGTACACAGAGCAAGAGACGATGCTGTCTCTCCAGCTGACAGGAGCTAGTGGTAGGTACTACCTGTATTAGAGCTTTTTGGATACCCAAAGCCGCCACCTCCTAGGCAGCAGTAGAGGGAGCCCTAGGGTGCTGTTGGGAGCCCATGTGTGCTGGCTGAGGGCTGGAGCAAGGCCATCTTGCCTCCCTCTGGGGCAACCCAAGCCCCCCTCAGTCTCCAGCATGGGCCCTGTGAGGTGGTGGTAGGGTTGGGATGGCAGCAGCCGTGCCGACCGCCTGGGGTGAAAGATGGTCAAAAGAGTCTGTGGCTTTGGGCTCCTTCCTGTGGTCTCTGCAAGTCAAGGAGCTCTCCCTGCCTTACATTTATGAGCAGTAAAATAAGGAAAACAAGATCTTTTGACATCGATTTTTTTTTTTTTCCTCAGAGGCATGCTTCCCTGAGTATCCTGAAGGAATGTGAATTTTATTTGTCTTTTGTTTGAATGGAGACCAGTTTCTGAAATTGTACCATGCAGAACTTTCTGTTTTCAAACAAAGATGCTGCAGCTCTCTTAGTCCCCTGCAGTCTCACCGTTTCAGCACAATTTATGATAAGCAGTTAGGGATGTGAGGGAAAACGAACCAATCTAATCTCAAAAACATTAAGAATTTTTAACATCTCACCTCTTTTTGGGGTCATTACTCAAGCACCTTCTTTCCTCTCTCCATTATGTCACATTTATTAAAAGCAGTACACGTAAGACAAGTCTAGGTTTTATCTAAATATCCAAATTTACCACATCAAGTTACAGTGGCAAGAACCAAACATAATAAGCACTTACAATTATTATTTCTATTCAGATAATTATTGCCCGTCCCAAATTCCTCTCCCATACCTCAAATTTCAAGGTACACATTGTAAAATAATAAAACAATCTTAGCAGGTCTGTTTTAACTTTTAATTAAATAATCTTGACAATGGTGTTTTTTACCCCAGCACAGGAGATTCAAGCTGAGAATGGACTTTCCTATACCCTTGTCAAATTAGCTTTCTGTCACTGTTTTACAAAAGACCTGGTTACCTTTTCTGTTCCTTCCTCCTTGAGGCTAATAATGTCCAAATCAAAATCCTTTCGTAAGCCATCCGTTTTGTTGAAGGTTATGCGCCCTGTCAGACCATCCCACCGTGCCTGTGTAAACACAAAAACACTCCTCCCTGTAACAATTAGTAGGAACTACTCTGAAGCCATAACAAATATTGCACTTTAAATTAACCATAGCATTGAATTACTTCCAAATTGTTTTTTAAACATATGTGCATTTGTTACTTCAATAAAAAAACACTTTCTTCAACTTTTTTGTTACTTGGTTTCTCTTCAATATGTTTTGTATTTTACAGTCAGGCTCAAGTTTATGACAGTTTATATACATTGATTTACAGATGTTTAGTACTATATATAATAAGATATACTGAAGAGACCAAAGAGAGAATAAAATATGTATTATATGTGCCCACAGAGAAAGCAGTTTTGCACTGCATAAGAATTCACTAAGAAATTAAAAAAGGAGTCTGCTTTGTCTGAACCTCGGAGTACAACAGTCTAAACCCACCAGCCTCCCTGGAGTGATCCTCTTTATGCCATTCCCAGGTCCTCTTCGGTTCTCCATGACAAATGGGTAACAGCTGTCAATCAGTCTTGAATGGGAGTCCCCAGAAGGTATTCAATGAAGGAAGGCACCTAACCATCTCGAATCACCAAAGCTTTCTCAACACCTCAGTTGTGCATTTCATAGTCTCACATGACAGATCATGCCTCTGCTACTCAGGGCCCAGAAATCCAGATTTTTCCAGGGAGAGGTAAAGGAAAGAAGGACTTCTGTCATTCTTGCTTGTTTTTCAATTTTGGTCCAGGCAGCATTTTACTGTTCTATCATAATTACGTGAAATCACATTTTCCTTTCCTAACAAAATCACATTAAACATGTGAAGAGTGGTCAGACATTGGAACAGGCTACCCAGGGAGGTGGTGGAGTCACCATCCCTGGAGGTGTTCAAGAAACGTGTAGATGTGGTGCTTAGGGACATGGTTTAGTGAGTTAGGTGGTGTTGGGTTGGACTTGATGATCCTTGAGGTCTTTTCCAACCTTAATGATTCTATGATTCTATGGTTCTATGATTAGCATCAGGAGTAAACTAAAGTGGTGGACTTCGCACATCAGTCTGTATAGCCACGATGATTCCCTGTGCTTGGGAATGCTTCTTCAGTGCAGCAGAATTAATGTCCAGAACTTTCTCTGCAATTTAAGTTTTCTGTATCTTGCAAGCTTCCCAGCAAGCTCACTTTCTTTTAAATGAGAGCTATCTGTCTCTCATATGGCCTCTATTTTGTCCCCAAAGCTGAAGCTTACCTATAAAAGAAAGTATTTGATGGATTTTCAAACTGCAGATTATTTTTATAATCTATTTTTGGGAGCTCCCACATTAGATTAAATTCTTCAAAGATACAAGAAAGGTAGATGAAAAATGATGGCATAGTTTCTTCATGTGTATCAGCCATATAATTCTTAAATGACAAGCTTTTCTACTGCACATTGTTGTTTGCTTCATTTAATTTGTTGCAGACGGATGTGATAAGGAAAGCTGCATTAAAAATAAGCAGGCTTACAGAATGGTGTCTCCTCTACTTGTTAAATCTGAATTCTAGCTCTGAATCTGCAGGATTTAATCTCAGATCCTGGGGCGTTATCACCACGTGCCTCAGACAAATCTGGGACATCTAGAATTTTGCGGAAATATAGCAGGATTTCGAAGTATGCAAGTAATACAAGAATGGAAAAGTGCAAATACGTCAAACTTCCTATGAGACCTTCCATCTTAGTGACATGGGAACATGTGAAAATCTCAGCTGTAAGCAGTGAAACACTTGCAGTTTTGTATGCTGATATAATTAAGATAAGAGGAGGGGACACGTATGAATGCATTTCATTATATAATATCTCTTTTCCAGTTTGTCTTTTTATTTCCCTGACATGACCCCCATCTGTTATTCATAAAGATGGAACATCTTTAAAAATATGATCTTTAGAGATCAATTCCTCCTCGGAGGGCAATTTGCTTTTGTGAAACGCTCACATTTATTGATTACATATCAGATGCTCAGCTCTTCTGCTAACATGATATGATCTTGAATAAAGGAACCAAGGAACCAATACATTATTTTTGGAAATGGTATCAGGACCCTAAATCTTTACTCCTGTCAAAAAGATTTATATGGTGAAATGCTAGCTCACTTTTGAAAATAGACATAGGTGCTTCTACCCCCACACTAAAAAATGGAAGCAAAAGATGCTGTAAGCTGCATAGATGTGTGCTTAAATTTCAAGGTAGCACAGAAGTGCATACAGCCTTTGTCTAACTTAAGTCCCACTTAGACCACAAAATAATGACCCCAATGTGATTTAAATTATAAACAGGAGTCAGGGAGTGTTTCTCAGAAGAGTTAATCTTAAACATTGAAGGTGTTCTTCAGCTCCTGATTGTGAGGCACATACTCAAAATAGAATTTGAACTATAAATTTTACTTCTGGTTTATATTTTATTCATTTTATTTATTCTAAATAAATAAAACATTTGGGTTGGAATCCAGTGAGCACAATTTAATTTCTGACTTCAGGACAGTTGTGGTGCATGAGTGTGCAGCATGTCTAGACAGACAGGTGAAGTTTCTTTCTCGAACAGAAACACAAGTATTCCTTCAGAAACAAAGGGAGGGATGAGCTAGGAACCTACGATCTATCCCAAGCCTTCTCAAGTCTACGGTAAAACGTCCAAGCTTTTAATACGATTGGAGTCCTAAAGCACAACTGCCTACTGCGTGCAAAGACAGTGAAATGTATCACTGCTCCAAAATCATAGCTGTATGCCACCACTTCTAGATGCCTGTCAGGTAAATCAAGGATCCGAGTGCCTACTGGGCACCATGTTCAGGCAAACACAGTAGGCAGCAGTTGCACAGTGCTCGAATGCAATTAGTGAACAGAAGTGAAGCAGAACTTTCTGAATAGTCAGAAACCACATGGCCGATTAACAGAACAATGAGATTTCATGTTTTTATATGCAAGATTATAGCCATTTTAATGTTTCTAGTGACACTCCATGTTAAATGTTACAGGATATAATAAAAGTTGTATTGGAACCTAATCATGGAATTTATCAAAAAGAATTGCTTTTTGCACTCTGTCCTTCCTTTAATATTAGATGAACTAAGGGCACAATTTGAAACTCTTACAGAGAGAATGGATTTTTTTATTTTGCTTGCATAATTTTTAGTATAGCTTGCAGCTTAATTAAAAAATGTGATTTTCAGTGGCTTCTGCTTGTTACATCATTTGCTAGTCTTAGATGTCATTTATGCAAGGTTGCCTCTGACAACAGAACCGTGAGGAAATGCAGTTCTTTTGGGAGTTTGCTTTGCAGCAGTAGGGCAACACAGTACTCATCTGAGGTTCAAAATAAAGTCTCACATTCTTCAACATTGTGTTTTATCAGATAATTATTATTCCTATTTCTAAGTTGTAAACATTTGATGACTTAGTTTTGTTTATTTAACAAAATGGGGAATTAACCAATATGTTGGTTTCAACTGGTAGTTGAGAAGCAAACCAAACTTACTAAGCATTGAAAAGCTAGTACATAGAACAGATTACAGTTAAGTCTTCAGTCATTTCTGAAGGCTGTCAGGTACCTGACATGGCAAAAACATACAAAGCAACCTAATAAAAACTGTGAAACTTTCTATTTTTACTACTTAAAAAAATTAAGGTTGTGGGTAAACTACAGACTAACACCTGGGGTTAAATATTCAAACTGCAATATTGGTTTTTATATAATCATATTGATAGGAAATTATAACAAGTGGAAAATGAAGCCAACTCAGCTTCTAAGAGCAAACACTCCAGAAGCTTGCAATCAATTCATACCGCCATTGGTCTTTATACCGATTTCCACTCCATCATCTTGAATCAATTACTATAGCAGCCTTAGTTTCAGCCAAAGCCAATCAACAGTTCAATCACAGAAGCAATCAGTTCAGCTGCTACGAGACTTACTAAGGTAAAACAACAGGTACATTGCACATTTTGTTTCTCTTGTCTCTACCAGACCTCACTTACTATTTCCAGATTTGTATTAGCAAGATATACTAGATCAAGAAATCATAATGTGCAGTGTATATAATGCTTTGACTGAGTAAACATTCAGCTTTATGATAAAGCCTCAATGGGATATAGCCAATTTTGTAGATAGTGTATTGCACTACTGCAGACAAGTGTTGATCTTTCTCAGACAAATTGATTGTGTTTTTACTATACGTTTGGGTTTTCTTACTCAATACATGTTTATCCAAATACTGTAGTTTAACTGCCTGTGACATATTTTCTCTGAGTCCAGTGTCTTGACAGATACTGGATAGTTGTGTTTCAGACTAGAAAACTTTAAATTTTTCAAGGTCCTTCTTAAACTGTTCAAAGTGCCCTGGCAATACAAATATGCAAAGACATTATCTTCTTTTGATTATTATTTTTTTAAATAATATTTCAAAATGTGCAGACATTTCTGCTCATCTATTAATACTCCACTTATTCCAATAACTTGTGAAATGAAACAGTTTTTCTGAACTTGTACTTTCGACCTCCACTTGTAATTAAGCAATCTCTTTAGAGTTTCAAACTCAAGTTTTAACCTTGTATTGTTCCCACTGTTCAAAAATAAGAACATATGTCCACAGCTAATGTTAGAAGAAACATGTTAGAAGAAAACATCTGAGGCACATGTACGTACCCCTAAAGGTAAATAAAACTGTGACTATATCACTTACAAAATATGTGTACATATCTACTTTAAATAGCATAAGGAAAAACTGTCAGAACTCTTAACAAATTTTTAAAATACATAGACAAAAGGAGTTGATAAAACTTCTGAGTGAAAAGCCAAAGAAGAAAAGTTATTTTTGCACAGTATCATGGCAGAAAATGAACTGTTCTGTTGTTCAGCTCCAAAGCCCTGCACAACACCAGGTTCAAGCCTGACTTTGTGCAAGATATTCGGACACTTTGCAATCTGCCACTGAAGCCCAAATTATTGTTTAATAAAAAAGTATTGTAAATTGATGATAAACAATCATCTTCTTCC